ATCCCAGAATGTGGTTACTTTTAATTTATAAGTAAAGAAAAAAATAAAATGTAACTATTAGGGGAAAATGTAGAATTGATAATATTCAAGCTCTAAGTTGTGGTTAGAAATTTTGCTATTTCAGATAAAACTTCTGGGATTATAATTTACTATTGTTTTGAGTTTTGATTATGGGAATGGATGTCTGAATTGTCTTGAAAGGAATATTAGAAAATGACTTTTAAGCTGCATTCTGAGAAGTGGTAAACATAGATATCTGTGCTTGTGAAAAGTTTTGGGGACAGCTTTGCATGGACTAAGAAAGGATCTCATTCACTCAGTTCCCCATTCTGCTATTTTCTTTCTGAAAAGTAAATTTCCTCATCTGATTAAATCCTTAACCTTGATTTTGGTACCCTGTGACCATGATTGACTGTCAGATATGACTCATGCCATCAAATCAAACAGAGCTCAGGCATTTTTCCTACTGTTACTATATATGACATTAATATAACTATATCCCTCCATTTTCTTTTATAATAAATTTCTCTAATCTGGGCAGGTGAGTAAAAGTGGTATAACTACAATAAAACAATCTGTTAATTAATAGCTCTGAATTCCTATAACGACCTGTAACTATGAAATTATCCTAGAATTTTAATCCGTATTTGTGGCCAAATTGCAATATAGGAATGATATGCTCCAAAAGGGTGAAGTAGCCAAAGTGATAAAACAAAGACGTAATGAAAAAGTTTCCTACTTAAATGGAATAACATACATTGAGAAAGCAACAAGATGAGAATTCTTCTCTAAGAACTGATGGGAAGAGGGGGAAGAATGGTGGGTAAGCCTTGAAACTTATTCCACCAAAGAGGGAATGACATTCAGTTGAGTATATAAATCTATCATATATATATATATATATATATATATATATATATATATATATATATATATATATATATATATATATATATATATATATATACATATATATGTGTGTGTATATATATATATATATATGTCTGTATACACACAAATACATATACTTGTATATATTTATACATATATAATATATACATATACATATATATGTGTGTGTGTATATATATATATTTAGTTTTTAACATTCACTTTTACAAGACTTGGAGTTCTAAATTTTCTCATCCTCCTTTCCCTCCCCGCTCCCCAGGATGGTATGCAAGATGATATAGGCCATACACATACAATCCTATTAAACATATTTTCACATTAGTCATGCTGTAAAGAAGAATCAGAACTAAAGGGAAAAACCACAAGAAAGAAGAAAGAAACAAACAAACAAAAGAGTGAAAACAGTGCATTTTGATCTGTATTCAGACTTCATAGTTCTTTCTTTGGATGTGGATAGCATTTTCTTTCACGAGTTTTTTTGGAATTGTCTTACATCCTTGCACTGGGGAGAATAGCTAAGTCTATCAAAGTTGGTCATCACACAGTGTTACTTTTTCTGTTTACAATGTTCTCCTGGTTCTGCTCACTTCACTCAGTATTAGTTCATTCAAGTCTTAGAAATCTATCTTACCCTACAGGAAAGGGAAGAGAATAAGTGAAAAGGAGAGGGGCTAATAGAAGCCACGACAAATTAAGGGAAGTAATGATATAAAGCAAAATATACTTTTTGAGGAGGGACAAGGAAAAAGGAGAGAAGGAGAAGGCTAAACAGGGAAAAATAAGATGGAGGGAAATACATGGATAATAATCTTAATTGTGAATGTAGATGGGATGAACTCATCAAAAGCACAGAAACAGACAGCAGAATGGATTAGACATAAAAAATAAGCAACAAGCTTGAAACGGAGATATACAGATGAAAAATAAAAATAAGGGGCTATTATGCTTCAACTGAGGAAAAGCAGGTAGCAGCCATGATCTGAGATAACCAAAGACAAAAACAGACCTGATTAAAAGAGACAAAAAGGAAATGATGTTTTGCTAAATGGTACCATACACAACGAATAATAATAATACTAAACATATATGCATCAAATGACATAGCATCCCAAATGTTAAAGGAAAAGGTAAATGAGTTAAAGGAGGAAATAGACAGTGAAACCATACTAGCAGGGTACTTCAACTTTCTCCACTCACAGCATGATAACTCTAACCATAAAATTCACAAGAAAGAAATTAAGAAGCCGAATAGAATTTTAGAAAACCTTCACAGGATAGTCTTCTGGAGAAACATGAATGGGAAGAAAAAAAGATAGTACCTTTTTTTCCTGCTGTATATGGTATCTTCAGAAACATTGACAATATGTCAGTGTATAAAAACCTCACAATCAAATACAGAAAAGTAGAAGTATTAAATGCATCCTTTTTTGGCCATAATGCAACATATATATACACACACACACACACACACACACACACACATGCATACATATATATATACATGCATATATATATATATACACATGCATACATATATATACACATGCATACATATATATACACATGCATACATATATATATGTACATACACATGTATATACTGAATGAAAAGCAGTGAAAATACAGATTAAAAATTAATGGAAAACTGAATAATCTAATTATAAAGAATAAGTCAAAAACAAAGCATAAAATATCAATAATTTCATTAAAGAGAATGACAACGATGAGTCAACATACCAACATTTGTAGAATGCAGCCAAAGCGATACATAGGAGAAATTTTCTAACTCAATATGCTTATATCAAAAAACAGGAAGAAGAGCAGATCAGTAAATTGAGCACACAACTAAAAAATGTAGAAAAATGAAATATTAAAAATCCCCAATTAAAAACCAGATTTAACATCCTGAAAATCAAAGGAGAGATTAATAAAACTGAAAGCTGAGAAAGAAACCAATACAACTAAGAGTTGCTTTTATGGAAAAAAAAAAACAGTAAAATAGATAAACCCTGGGTTAATTTGATTTATTTTTAAAAAGCAAGAAACAAATTTTTAAAAAGTTTTGTTGCTGTTATTAAATTTTTTTCAGTTCTGTGTCACTATTTGTGATGCCCTTTGGTGATTTCTTGGCCAAAGTATAGGAGTGGTTTACCATTTCCTTCTCCAACTCATTTTACAAATGAGGAACTAAGGTAAATGGGCTTACATGAGTTGCACAGGATCACACAGCTAGTAAGTATCACAGGCTAAATTTGAACTCAGGGAAATGAGTCATTCTGATTTCAGACTCTGAACTCTATCCATGGTTCCAGCTGACTGTCTAAACAGATTACCAGTATCAAAAATGAAAAGGGTGAATTCACCACCAATGAAAATGAAATTCACGCAATACTTTGTAACTATTTTACCAAACTGTATGCCAATAAGTGTGACAATCTAAGTGAAATGGATGAACATTGACAAAGACATATGTTACCTATATTAAGAGAAAAAGAAAAAGAACACTTAAATTACCAGTAATTAAAATATAAATTGGTGGCAGCTAGGTGGCACAGTGGATAGAGCAGGCCCTGAAGTCCAGAAGACCTGAGTTCAAATCTGGCCTCAGAACAAACAGTTGACACTTATTAGCTGTGACCCTGGACAAGTCACTTAACCCCAATTGCCTAATATGTGTGTGTGTGTGTGTGTGTGTATTTATATATATATATATATATATATATATATATATATATATATATATATATATATTTGTATATATATATATATATATATTTGTATATATATATATATAAAATTGATAATATATGATATCTATGATACATAAATATATACATAATTGATAATATATATCTATGATACATATATATATATGTATATGTATATGTATATATGAATTGAATAAGCCATCAATGCACTCCCTAAGAAAAAAATCACAGGGCAAGAAGGATTCACACATGAATTCTATGCAACATTTTAAACCAACAATAATTCTAATACTATATAAACAATTTGGCAATACAGGTAAAGGAAAGGTCTTGCCAAATTCCTTTTATCACACATATACGGTGCTGATAGCTAAAGCAAGATGTGCCAAAACAGGAAGGAAACTATAGACCAATTTTCCTAATGAATATTGATGCAAAAATTTTAAATAAAATACTAGAAAAGAGATTACAGCAATATATCACCAAGATCATGCCCAATCAACAGACAGTATTTATACCAGCAATGTTGGACTGTTTCAATAGTAGCAAAACTGTCAGCAAAAGTCGCCATATCAATAATGAAACCAACAGAAATCATATGATTATCTCAACAACAGATGCACAAAAAGCTTGTGACAAAGCACAGCACCCATTCCTAGGAAAACATGAAAGACCATATGCTGAAGGGAGTGGAGAGGAGACTCTCCAGCAGGCGGGGAGGGTGCACAAGTCCTCTGCTCTCAGCCCTCCCCTTCACTACCAGGGGATCTAAGAAGCCTGTCAATGCCCTGATCCTCACAACTCTATCAGGCAGGCACTGCTATTATTCTCATTTCACAGATGGGCAAACTGAGTCAAGAAAGGTGACTCTGCCCAGAGATGACCCAGGTGCTAAGGCCTCCCAGTTTAGGGCTCCATCCACGACCCTGCAGGGCCAATGACAAATCCCTTATTATTTAATCAGGCTGATTCTTGGGCACAAGGAACCATCCACAGCCTTTCCACCTTGGGAGACGGTCCCAACCCCATCCTCTGCTAGGCCACACTTCCCAGGCCACATGGAGGGCAGAGACCAGGAGCCAGAGGAGGCTCCAATCCCTGCTCTGGCCCTCCCAGAGTGACTTCTATCATCTGTCACAGTACGGAGGGGGCTCAGACAATCCTCCAAGTCTAGGGATGGGTGAGGGGCTCCCTTCCTTCCCACTTTCCTCTTCTAGGAACTCTTCTTCAATCCTGGAATCCCCTTCCCGTGCAGACATTCTAGGAACCTGAGTGCTTGGGGCACCCTCATCTCTGTTAAAACAAGGCAGAAGGCAGACAGACTGTGAGGGACAAAGGGCTTGAGCTTCAGCGCCCAGGAAATGCCCAACAACTTACAGGTGATGCGACCGGTGACTGCTGGCTCCCGGACCAGTCGAGCAGAGCAGATCTTCTTCAGGACAACGGAGTCTTTACGAATCAAGGAGGCCCTGTGGGCTTGTGAGGATTTGCACACCAGGCTCCTACGCACCGAGCGCCGGTCACAGCAGGGGCCTATCAGGGTCTGAGGGCTTTCCAGCAAGTCCAAGAGGAGCTCAGTCTCTGGCTGGGTCTCTGTTCCTGGTGAGGAGGGTGCCCTGCCCGGCTTGGTCATCACAGTCACTGGCTGGGCTATCTGGAGTTTGGCCACAGATCCCGCAGCTTTCATCTCAGGCACCTCAGTGGGCACCACCAAGGAGGTCCCAGGAGCTGGTTCAGGGAGGCTTTCTGCCTGCTGTTTGGGCATCGATTCATCTTTGCAGCCCAAGCTGAGGACAGCTGTCTTGGTCTTATTTGCCACCAGGTAATTTTCAGCACTCTGCTTCTTGCTGACGCTGATCTATATAATGGGCACAAGCCCATCCACTGCTGCCAGGTTCACAGGCATTTTGGGGAGCACCGTGGGTGATTCAGGGGGCGAGGAGGCTGCTCCTGCTTGGGTTCAAGTACCACGAGGGACGGAGCTATTGTCAGCTGCCACCAGAACCAACTTCTCCGGCTTATCTTTACTCCGAAGTAGCTGGTGGTTGTGTCGACGGCTCCTTAGTTTCTCACGGCGGGACAACCTGCATGAGACGGAAAGCGGGGCCCTGAGATCATGGCCTTAGGCACTGCCAATCTAATATCATTTGGGAAGTCCCTATCACGTGCCATGCACTGTGCTAAGGTTCTAGGGATACAAAGAAAGGCAAAAACACAATCCCTGCCCTCAAGGAACTTACAATGGAGAGAGCACTGAGCCTGGAGTCAGGAGGGCCTGAGTTCAAATCCAGCCACAGACACTTCCCAGCTGGGTGACCCTGGGCAAGTCACTTTACCTGTTTACCTCAGTTTCCTCATCTATATAAATGAAGGTCTTGGAGTCAAGGACCTCCAAGCTCCCTTTCAGCTCCAAATCCTTGGTCCTAGGCCCTCTTGAGGGCCCACACACCAGGACCAAGATCATCCCCTGCCCTGCCCTTGCTTCTTGTCTGGGTCTCCTCTCCCCTCAATGTCTTGTACTTCCTTCCATTTTTCCCACAGCACTGAGCCCGGTGCTAAGCGCTCTACCATTGTCACAGTACCACCATTTTAATGGACAAGACCTTGGAGGCCTTCTATTTACAGAGGCCTAGGGAGGTGCCACAGCTGAGGAGGGGCACAGCCAGATACTGACACCATACCCAGGCCTGCCTCTGCTGTCCTGCCCTGCCCGCTTGGCCCTGGACCCCAGCAGGCACCTACCTTTTCCTGGTTGGGTGCTTGTTCTCATCCTGCATGGAGGAAAACTGTTTCTTCCTCCAGCGGTCCCTCTGAGATGGCGTTTTGTGCATCAGCTCAGGCTCCACACTGAAGTCACTGAGGGGTAAAGAGGAGAAAAGGAGAGTCACAGAACATCTAAACTGGTCACCTCCCCATCAATGGCCCCTTTGGCCTGGAAGAGCCCCTGGGTCTTCCTGCTCATCAGAAAGGAGGACAAATCTCCTCCTCCTGTATTATCCCTATGGGCCAGCCTCACCTACTCACCAGGGGTTCTGCAAAGCCTAATCTCGTCTTTACAGCATTTGAGAAGGTTAGACCTGGACCCAATCCAGGGGATCCGTCTAGGCCAAATCTTTCACCTTAAAGATAAGAAAACTGAGGCCCAGGGAGGTAATTTGATTTGCTCAAGCTCTTTTGTCTGGGAGCCCAGGGCTCTATGCAGGCCCCCAACAGGTTGGAGCCACAAAGTCTGTCTGGGGACTTGGGACACATTTCCTCACAGATGCAGTCACACAGAGGACAGCTAAGTGGCACAGGGTGCTGGACTGGGAGTCAAGAAGCCCTGAGTTAGAATCTCACCTTGGCCACTTAGCAGCTGCGTGGCCCTGTAAAATGGGGATGATAACAGTGCCTACCCCCAGGGCTGTTCTAAGGATCAAAGGAGCTAACATTTGTAAAGCATTCTGCTAACCTTGAAGCTCCAGATAATCGAGCTTTGGACACAGCTGGTTCCATGCTGTGCCCAGACCAGGCCAGAAAGGTCCCTTTAGTCTGAACGGTACTTAGGTCACCCTAAGATGCCTCATATAAGATGCCATATCTGGTAGAACCCTCATCCCCATGGAAGAACAGGGATCTGACTGGTCCCACTCTGGCAGCCTCCTCCCCTGCCACCTCAGCCTTGGCAGTAGGTCAGGGATCCCCACTGCCCACAGTGAGGGAGGCTGCATGGTCTAGGGAAGAGAGGCCCTGGGTTCAAATTTCACCTTTGATGTTTATGACTTGAGGGACCTTGGGCAAGTCTTTGGACCTCAGGATTCCCAACTGCACAACGAGGGGATTAGACTAGAGGGGCCCTGCCCAGCTTCCATCCTTCCAGCTCTAGAGATCACTCTTCCTCACCTGGCACTCAAGGACAAAGAGGGCAGAACCCAAGGATGGGGGGGTAGGGAGAAGCTAGAGAATGAGAAGAGGAAAGGGAATGGGGTCTTGGAGAGAGGGGAGGGCAGCAAGGAATTATGGAATCTGAGTGTCAGGAGAAGCATTAAAGGATCACCAGGGCACAAGGAGGGGAAATGGAGGAGGAATGCCCTGGGGAAGCCAGTTTCTGACACTGATGGAGTACATGAAGGGCGTGCCCAGAATGAGGGGAGGGAGGTGCTCAGGCCTGGTCAGATCCCTTTAGAAACAAGATCCATTTCACAGAGAAGAGAGTGTCTTGTTCTCTGGGCTTTGTACAGTGCCTGGCACAGAGGGAGGGAGAGAGGGGGGAAGGAAGGATAGAAGGACGGAGGGAAGGAAGGGAAGAAAAGAAGAGAGGAGGAGAAAGGAAGGAAAACACCCCCAAACTGGCAGAACTTTGGCAGGCATGGAATGGGCCACAGACAAACACGTTCCTCTTTCTCAGTTCCTCTGGCTCTGCCTTGCTATAGGAGTAAGGTTTCCCATAAGGCTCTCCCCTTTTTAAATGTGTATTTCTGTGAATGACCCTTCAGGTCAAAGTCAGGTTTTGTCTGGTCTCCTGTGCCCTGGGCTACCAGCCCCTTGCTGCTGTACCCACATGGGCCCTTCAGCCCTGGATTTACCTGGAGAACATCTTTAGGGCCTCCTCCTTAGAAATGGAAAGAAGCCACCAAACTCCTCCTGAAAGAGATCCACAAAGGAAAACTCCTAGGAATATTGTAGCCAAATTCCAGAGTTCCCAGGTGTATTAATAGGATTTAGTGAGGTTCGGATTCGCTCCTATAAATGACACTCTCCAATGCACCAGAAAATAATAGGAAATAGATAATTTATTTAGAAGAAGTAAAGCACAGATAGTTTGAATTTGCATAGAAAGCATAAATAATAAGAACAATCAATAATATAGCACCGATCAAGAGAGTCGGTAATGGAAGAGAATACATCACCAATTCAAGGGAACCTCCAAAGTCAATCAACGGCTGGGAGCCCCGTTGCAGCCAGTACAAACTTGAATTGTGTAAAGATTTTCCCGGGCAAAGCGTCCTTCCCGCGGGTGAGGCTCAGCGGGCTTACAGGACGCAGTGTTTTTATATTGTTCTAAACAAAGAAGGCTTGGGGCCAAGAAGCCCTTTTTGATGCTTGTGCTATTCGTGGTTTGTCCAATACACATCTGACCTTAGCCACGCTCCCATCCGCCTGAGGCTTGGTATTTTGTTTTTTAATAACATCACGTCTCACAAGGAGAGGAGCCAACCCTCCATGTCAACGTGACCTAGGAATGGCTAGTTCCTGGAATGCTAGGCCAAGAACACTCAGGAGATATGGAACGGTCATGACCGAGATTTGAACTGAACCTATTTATTTGAGTGATCTTATTAATTTAAAGGGGAATTTCCAATTTCCATTTCACTTGGCCTTAAGATCATGAGAATAATAGGTGAGGGGCAAAGGTGTGACATGAGTGTATATAGTGCGTATTTTGGTATACATATAACAATTGCATATACAAAGACATAAAAAGAACAAAGCAAGTAGTAGTATGGGGGTAGCTAAGGAATTAAAATACATAGTAGCAGTAGGAGATTTAAAAAGAAAATCATACCAATGATGATTAGTATCTGAGATCACTAAATGAGAAGCTTCGACTAGTCTTCCTGCAGCTATAAGAGTCTGTATTCGATGTTCATTTAACGCGCGTTGGTTGGACTCTAATAACTTTTTGATTTCAGTCGACTGATTCAAGATGTTCATAAGGGGATATAGAGATAGAGACACATGAGGTAGAGGCAAAGATTGGGGTACCCAAGCAAAATTTTTAACTAGGTTAGTGTCTGGTGGAAAGTAAAAATCATTTCCTTGCCAGCGTAGGAAAGATACATTGGATAAGCAACCAGAAAATGGACAGTAGTAACATCTACAGATAGAAGGTCAGAGTGATTATTAGAGGCTATACAAACATATTGAGTAGATACTTCATATATCATAGAAAAGTTACTCACTGGGTATAAAGTTAGATCACACAAATTGGATGAATGTGAGAGAAGGCAGGGTTCCATCTGCCGAGTCATCATCCCACAAACAATCCCTCCATTAGTTACAACACAATCAGACAGAGTATGAGTTACATTATACCAATCTATATAGTTTCCATAGATATAAGGTAAAGCAAAGTATTTATGTAAGACAAAAGGTATTACATGAAATTGACACATAACAGTCCAAGTTTTAACTTGGTAGAGTATAATAGTTCCAGCGCACCAAAGTGGAGTGCATCTAGCATTCTCAGGTTTTTGCTTTTTCCATACATCTGACAAGTCAAGTATATCGTTCCATATGTGAGAGTTACCTTCCTGTAGTAATCTTTGGGCATTTTCCTTCTGTATGAGGGTATATAAGTTTTGCAAGGAACATTTAGTCCAATTAAAAAAACACCAATGTTTTTCATAAGGTGTAAATTAACGAGGATGCTATTATTAAAGACTTGTAAAAATTGGCCTTGATATTGTAATGTATTTTGGTGTGGCAGGATCGTTGTGGGTAACCATTGGGCATTCACAGTCAAAGCTTGAGAAACATCTTGTCCAGCACTGCGCAGTCTGCTAGCCAAGGTCTCAAGGTCTATAGAATTAACTATACCCAAACCAGTTCCTGCACCACCAAGTAATGTATCATACCAAGCTCTTTTTTTCCTGACACAACTTTCTAAAGAGGGAAAAGTTACATTATAATGAAACACTATTTTGTGTTGCAAGATAGAGGTGTTAGTACATGAGCGGGACACGAATTATTCCAGGGGTTTGGAGTCACAGGTACAACCCATACTAATTGGTTTAGATATTCTTCATACAGCCCATTGGAGGTGTTACGACAATAAAAATATTTTCTGTCGTCCGCTTGTGATAGTGAGACAGTGTAGGTGGAGTTTACTTGTGTCCAATTATATGTTACAGATCTTAACCTTTTAGGAAAATATGGACTAGGTGGCCAACTTGTAAGGGTACAGGATATATTGGTACCGTTTGCTGCAGTAACAGTTAGATTAAAACTAGTTAAATTGATTCTCATTAGGGGAAAAGGGCGTCCCAAACTTCTACGTTGAATGGGTATGACCAATTCATGATGTGGGTGTTGTTTTCACCAGCGTAGATGGAATCAGTACGCGGTCCTTGCTGAGGATTCCCACTGGAATACCTGGAGTTCATGCCATAGTTAGCGTATAGCAGGCAAACACTGTAAAACACTTAATATCGTAAAAACATTTGGGTTAGTGGGACATGATACCATTTATCATCACCAGGGTATACTACTATGGCAGTATTAGTGTTTCCTTGTGCTATGAGCTCAGCTGGCCTTGGTCTATCAGATTGATGCTTCTTTATCCAAACTTTAGTACCATTATCACTCTGTATTTGTAGGGGGGTCCCATAATAAAGAGAAATAATATCTAGGGTTTTACAAGTGTTTTTCTGGGTAGCCTGTTTATAGGGGCAGGCAACTAATACCCCAGAGTAGGTGTCCACACAAGTGCAGGCATATTGACACCCCTGACTAACAGGTAATGGTCCAATATAGTCTATTTGCCAAATTTGAGCAGGTAAAGACCCTCTAGCCAATTCTCCAGTGATTTTCTTCGGCACAGGCCGATGAGCAAATAATTGACATTGTATGCAGTTTTGTACTATTTGCTTAAATAGATCCAGAGGTATGTTAATCCCTCTGTCTAATGCCCACCTGTAAGATGCAAGAGCGCCAAGATGTCCTGCGGTGATATGGACCCATTTTCCTAATTGTGTTTCATTTTCCTCTCTGGGGGTGACCTTTAAAGCTTTTCCTTGAAGTTTGGATAATTCATCAGCACGGGCATTATACTCACGTTCCACAGAATCTTGATTCACATGGGCATCTACATGAAATACAGATACATTAGTACATTGACACCATTCCCATATTTGTTCCCATAATTCTTTTCCCCACACATCTTTGTCTCTAATTTTCCATTCGTGTTTCTTCCAAATTGGCATCCAAACTGCTAGGCCATTGGCTACGGCCCAGGAATCAGTATATATATGACATTGGCCACCTTGTTCCTTTTGAATTACTTGATAGACAGCCACTAATTCGGCCCATTGGCTACTCTGGCCTTCACCAGAGCTTTCCAAAATAGTATTGCATGAAGGTTATAGGCTACAGCTTTCCAACATCGCTTAGATCCTATATATTTAGCCGAGCCATCAGTAAACCAAGCATGCTTCTTCTGCTCGGGGGTTAGAGAATCATATCCATTATTCCAAGAAACAGGTGATTGATCATAAGACTTTGGTGGTATATCAATATCATTTGAATGTTTTGGTAATTCTAATACCTTTTCATGCAAGGTGGAAATACCCGATCTGCCTGTCTTGACTCTATTTTGCAAATACCATTTCCATTTAATAATTGATGATTCTTGGGCATGTCCTATTTTATGTGAGGCGGGGGTCCCCATAATCCAACTCATAATGGGTATGGCTGGCCTCAATACAACTTCATGGTTTAAAGTTAAATGTTCTGTCTCTACCAGGGCCCAATATGCAGCCAATAATTGTTGTTCAAAAGGAGTATAATTTTGGCCAGCAGGTGGCAGTTTCCGCGACCAAAATCCTAAAGGAACATTCCTGCCCTGTTGTTTTTGCCATAAACTCCAATCAGCATATCCATGCAAAACTGTAACTTGCAATTCCATCGGCCCTGGCTGTACAGGCCAAAGATCCAGGGCAGTTTGAATAGCTATTTTGGCTTCCTCAAAGGCTTTCGATTCTGTTTCCCCCCATTCAAATGCATACTTTTTCCGGGTAACTTTATACAATGGCTTCAAAATCTGACCTAAATGAGGAATGTGATTCTCCAGAAACCAAACAACCCAACGAACTTTTGAGCTTCTCTTTTGTCCCTAGGAGGTGAAAAATCTAAATTTTTTGCTTGGCCTTGGGGAGGATTTCTCTATGACCCTTATTCCAAATTATTCCTAAAAACTTCACACTTTGAGCTGGACCTTGAATTTTATCAGGATTAATCTCCCATCCCTTCTCCTTCATATTCTATTAGTTGAGTTAATCTTTTCTCTACCACCTCTTTATTCTCTGCCTGTATTAAAATATAGAGGTCAAACTCAAAAATTTTAGACAATCCTTGGGGTCTAGCCACACTCCTCCAGCTCCCCCATCACTTAATCTTACAAGCCAGGAGATTGCAGGCTCTCCTGATCGCTGTGAAAACCTACTAAGCAAATCAGTAATTTCTCTTTGGGAGTAATCTTCCGTGATTTCAGTCACCCGGGGTGGGTTAGCTCCCTCCTTTTCGGCTTTTCTCCTATCTATCGGCCGAGCTTCCCCGTCTACAACATCCGGAACATCTTCCTCTATTACTTCCCCCCACCTATCATCATCTTCATCCCAAATATCACCTTCCCAAGTATCAGGGTCCCAATTCATATTTGCTACAGCTACAGCATGCACTTTCCTTTTACTCACCCTTCAAATTTTCTACACACACTCCTCTCTCCTACATGCTTAAACTTCCTTGCCTTTCTTTCTAATGATTTAAAATCCCCTTAAAACCTGTACATATCTCATTCCTTTCTAATTCTGACCTAACACTTCAACAATCCTTCCCAACTTGCCCTCTACCAACCATATAACCTAAGTAATAAAGTATTCTTCTCTCTTTCCCTCTCCCATCCACGCACTGCTTTGAAGCTGCTGTTACCTGGGGAGGGAGAGGGGAGAATGAAGGCAACTTTTCAGAGTCCTGCTGCAGCCTTTGGCTGTCTGGCTGCAAACAACCCAAAAGGGAAAATGATGTACTGGTCGTATCCCCCCATTATCCCTGCTGGCAACCGGCCCATCCGTCGCACCCCAAACGAGAACCCCCAACACCCCCAATCCTCACTAGGTCCTGTACACTGTGACCAGGTTTTTGCGAGCGAGGAAAACGGAGGGTCCTCCCAACCGGGGACCTCTACCGGAGCCCGGGGCTCAACATTTCTCTTAAAGAAAGGCATTTATACAGCGAATCCTGTTCGTGACGCCAATTTTGTATTAATAGGATTTAGTGAGGTTCGGATTCGCTCCTATAAATGACACTCTCCAATGCACCAGAAAATAATAGGAAATAGATAATTTATTTAGAAGAAGCAAAGCACAGATAGTTTGAATTTGCATAGAAAGCATAAATAATAAGAACAATCAATAATATAGCACCGATCAAGAGAGTCGGTAATGGAAGAGAATACATCACCAATTCAAGGGAACCTCCAAAGTCAATCAACGGCTGGGAGCCCCGTTGCAGCCAGTACAAACTTGAATTGTGTAAAGATTTTCCCGGGCGAAGCGTCCTTCCCGCGGGTGAGGCTCAGCGGGCTTACAGGACGCAGTGTTTTTATATTGTTCTAAACAAAGAAGGCTTGGGGCCAAGAAGCCCTTTTTGATGCTTGTGCTATTCGTGGTTTGTCCAATACACATCTGACCTTAGCCACGCTCCCATCCGCCTGAGGCTTGGTATTTTGTTTTTTAATAACATCACGTCTCACAAGGAGAGGAGCCAACCCTCCATGTCAACGTGACCTAGGAATGGCTAGTTCCTGGAATGCTAGGCCAAGAACACTCAGGAGATATGGAACGGTCATGACCGAGATTTGAACTGAACCTATTTATTTGAGTGATCTTATTAATTTAAAGGGGAATTTCCAATTTCCATTTCACCAGGTCAAGGAGAAAATACTACAAGCAGCCAGAAAGAAACATTTCAAGTACTGTGAAAACACAATCAGGATAACACAAGATTTAGCAGCTTCTACATTAAGGGACTGCAGGGTTTGGGATATGATATACTAGAGGTCAAATAAGCTAGGATTAAAACCAAGAACCATCTACCCAGAAAAACTGAGTATAAACCTTCAAGGAAAAAAATGGAAATTCAATATGATAGAGGACTTTCAAGCATTCTTGATGAAAAGACCAGAGCTGAATAGAAAATTTGACTTTTGAATACAAGACTCAAGAGAAGCATAAAAATGTAAACAGGAAAGGGAAATCATAAGGGACTTAATAAGGTTAAATTGTTTCTATTCCTATATGGGAAGATGATATTTTTAACTCATAAAATCTTTCTCATTATTAGGGTAGTTAGAAGGAGTACATATAGACAGAGGGAACAGGTGTGAGTAGAATATGAAGGGATATCTAAAAAAAAAGGGGGTGAGAGGAATGTACTGAGAGAAAGAGAAAGGGAGAGAGAGAATGGGGAAAATTATCTCACATAAAAGAGGCAAGAAAAAGCTTTTACAGTGGAGAGGGAAGGCAGCTAGGTGGCACAGTAGAAAGAGCATAGGCCCTGAAGTCAGGAGGACCTCAGTTCAAATTCAGACTCAGACCAAAACTTACTAGCTGTGTGACCCTGGGCAAGTCACTTTAACCCCAACTGCCTAAAAAATAAAGTAAAAATAAAATAAAAATACAGTGGAGAGGAAGGGAGGGGGAGTGAATGAACTTTACTCTCATCAGAATTGGCTCAAAGAGGGAATAACATACACATTGGGCACAGAAATCTATCTTACCCTACAAGAAAATAAAGGAAGGGAATAACAGAAAGGGGTGGTGGTAGAAGGGAGAGTAGACTGGGGGAGATGTTGGTGAGAAGCAAAATACTTTTGAAGAGGGACACGGTGAAGGGAGAGAGAGAGAATAGAATAAATGGAGGGAAGGAAATACAGTCAGCAACAGTAACTATGAAAAGAACATTTGGAGCAAGTTTCTCTGATAAAGGCCTCATTTCTCAAGCAATTAGAGAACTGAGTCAAATGTATAAAAATAAGAGCCATTCTCCAATTGATAAACGATCAAAAGTTATGATCAGTTTTCAGATGAAATAATCAAAGCTGTCTATAGCCATATGAAAAAATACTCTAACTCACTACTGATTGGAGAAATGCAAATGAACACAATTCTGAGGTACTACCTCATACCTATTAGATTGGCTAAAAGGACAGGAAAGGTAAATGACAGATTTGGAGGGGATGTGGGGAAAATGAGACATTAATATACTGTTGGTAGAGTTGTGAACTGATTTTACCCTTCTGTAGAGCAATTTGGAACTATGCCCAAAGGGTATAAAGTTATGTGTACCCTTTGACCTAGCAATATAACCACTAGGCCTGTATCCTAAGAGAGAGAAAAAACAAAAAAGAAAAGCACCTATAAGTACAAAAACATTTATAACAGCTCTTTTCTGGGGGGCATGCCCATCAATTGGGGAATGTGTCAGTTTGGTTTGCTTCTTCTGAGCTCACAGTTGGGGGTTTTGGGTATGTGGGGGGGGGACTGTGAATGGTATTAAGAAATGACTGGTGCAAAAAAACAATAAAACACAAAGATTTCCTTTTTAATTAGTGGTTAGAAAACAAAAATAGCGGTTACAAGAAGACCCTCCCTCCACAAGGAAAGACCTTCACTTGGCTTTAACTAAAAAGTTTCATCCACTTTCTCAGGCTTCTCTCCCACTCCCTAAACTCCCACCCCACCCCAATCAAAACGACCCCATGCTAAGCAAACCTTGGCTTAAGATCATAAAATAAGTTGTGGTCTTGCTTCTCAACCACTGTCAGCCAGCTTGTACTCCCCTCGGGGGCAGAGGTGATACCAGGTCCCAAACCACTGCTCTCCCTCCCAGTACAGAGCCTGATGAGGGATGGGTTTGGAACAATTTACCCAGGTACAACAGCAGCTGGCAAATATTCTAAAACTCTCTCTCTGACCCTAAACTTGCCACCTTCACATGCAGAGCCCCCCTAACTGGAAGAGATGGGATGCAGGAAGTGAGGCCACAGTGGTTTTCTCCTTTCATTCAAGGTTTCCCACTACTCCAACACCCATCCCCTCCTCACAGTATATTCTGCAACAAATTTGGCTTCAGGCCACAACCCCTAACAGTTATGAGCTCCTCGCCCCCCAAATAAGGCACCCACTAACCAGGCATCTGATGGCACTCAAAGACTGAGTGAGGGTTACGACCAAGCCTTGCCAGCAGGATTAAGTAAAGGGGAGGGAGGAAGCAGCAATCAAGCAGACCCTTAACAAGAAACAAGAAGCATCTGAACTCATCTAGAGTAAGGTGGCTGCAGATGAGCACTGCTTTGCAGATGTGGCACAGAGAATCAAAGGATCTGGGTTCGAATTCCAGCTTCAACACATGCTGTGTGAACATGGGCCAATCACTGAACCTGAGATTAGAGGAAGGGCAGGTTGGTCTAGAAAAACCTTTGAGGTCCTTGAAAGTGCTTAACCCAGGGTGTCTCTGTTTAGAAGTAAACACAAAGAGTGAACAAAGAAATAGAGAGCAACTTCCAGGAGACAGGTAGGTGATGTCCTTGTTTGGAACTCGTGGATTCAAATGTCACCTCCCTCACTAGCTGTGCGACTCTGGGCCAACTTCTCTGTGCCTCAGGTGTTCTCATGCGCAAAATAAGGGCACTGAACTTGGCCTTTCGGGTCCCTTCCAGTCTTAAATCTGTGAAACTGTTGCAGGCTGAGAAGTTGACAGACTTTGACCCCTCGAAGACCAGAGTACAGGAAGGAATTCACAGACTCAAGCATTCTTTAATTCAAGGTGGCAAAGATTTATTATTATGCTTTTCAGCGGGCAAGGATTCTTAAAGGATCCTGCAAAACCGTAGAGAGGTACAGGTAAAGTTTATATAGGATAAAATCCAATAAAACATATGTCAAATATGCTAACTAGGGGATTCAGGGTGGGATTAGGGAGTGGTTAAGGAGTGGTCAGTTCTCAGTTGAAACTCAAGACGAGAAAAGTCCCATTATTCAAGAGAGTATCTGGTCCCAGACATCCTGGGCCTAGTGATAGCAAACAGGAAGAATACTGATCAGCTCTATCTGGTCCTGGAATTTGCTGACACAGGAAGGGGTGTTTTTAGTTCATTCAGAGAGAAAAAGATTAATTTAGGTTTTTGGCCCTTATTGGGGCTCAACTGATCTTAAATGATTATCAAGGGACAGTGTTTCTGAGGCTAGGGAGAAATTGGGGCCCAAGTACAAGCACCCAAACATAAACACCCAAGCATAAGCACCCAAGCACCCCAACAAAACCAGGACTACTTCCGAGTTCTAAGTCAATGAAAGCACATGTCCTACAGCCTAAATTGGCAGTAATAACAACAATACGTAACATTTTGTGCAGGAAAGGGATTCTTGCAGGGCCAGATTTCTGGGAGGTCTGTGACCTTGTGATTTTCTACTCTTTGATTCTTGCATGTCGATGGAATCGGTCCTCTCCTATGCCTGTGCAGTTGGCTCTCTGCGTGTCAATCACCACGATGAGAAAAGTGTTTCGCAGGCTTCCCCAGACTGCCCGACAGGTCAATGCACATGGAAACGGATGAGAGGCCCTGCTCCTGACACCCGGGGCTGGGAAGGCACCCCAGCAGCCCTGTGGGCACCCGGCCCCTGCTCCACTCAAGCCTGCCTGGCACTAGTGACTTACCTGGCGATCAAGGCTTGTCTGAGGCAGGAAGGAAAGACTGAGAGGAAGAGTTCGAGTCTTTCAACCCACACGCGTTGTCTAAGCAGCTAGAAAGCTGCCACGCAGCTGAAGGAAGGGGCGCCTTCTTGGGACTCGAGACCAGAAACGGCAAGCCAGAGTCTGCGGCCCCAGCACCACCACTCCGCTCCCCCATCCATAAAACGGGAGCAGCCCGGCTCGCTCCCTCGCTCCCGGTGTGGCCTGATGGAAGAGTCGGGCCTCGATCCTACACTGGGCGACCAATCCGACCCCCTCGTTTTACAGGTGAGGAAACACAGGGCGCAAAGGCCTGCCTCAGATTCCCCGTCTGCAAAAAGTCTCTTACGGCCCTCAGGCGGTCATCCGGTGAGGCCGAGGGCCCGCCGGGATAGACGCGCCTCCGCGAGGCCGAGCCGCCCCCGGAGGGGACGAGGACGCGGCCGCGGCCTCAACTAGCTTGCTCCACCAGGCCCGGCCCACCTCGCCCCGTGTAGCGAGGCCCTCGACTCCGTCCAAGACCACGCCGCCGCCTCAGTAGGCGGGGCCTGAGGGGCGAAGCAAGGATTTTCAAAGCAGAAGGCGTGGCCGATAGTGGGAAAGGCAGACCGGGCCTCCTATTGGTCCTCCCGGGTGACAATCAACGCCGATCCGAGGCAAGGTAAACGCCTTTCCTTCCGCTTTTGGTCCTAGAGGCACCCTTGAGGGGAGGGGCCGCGGCCAAATGCTCTGAGAGGCGGGGGAAGACCAAAAGTCCCGGCGTGCCTCGCGGTGGCACCGCCCCCCTCCCCTGTTCATTAACACTTAGTTACCGGGCTTTTATTAACTTCTCCAGGCCTGTGTTGTAGCTGTCCCTTAGACGTAAACTTCTTAATGATTAATCTCAGAAACTCCAGAATCTGCTAAGATGTCTTTACTTGTATCTAATTTTTAACTCTAGGTCTAGGCTGGTCAAGCCTGGACCCACAAGAAAAGGAGTTTTACAGGTTTGTTGTTTTCCTGGCTGCAGTCTTTCGAAGTCTCTGGCTACCTGCATTTTATATCTTACAAGGTACAGACACAAAGACACACTGACAGACCAACTGACAGTACAAATACAATACAAACATAGTGTTCACTTAATGACTGAGAGAGAGAGGGAATTAGAGGCTTGTTAGAAAACCCCCAACACTAATTGGCTATTATTATTCCAAGGAAGGGGGTTGGGGAATTTGCAAGGATCCAAGACCTGAGAATGTAACTGGATCTTTTGAGTCTTCCTCAAAGTGTCCCTGAGATTGCAGAATCAAAGGGGCAAGTCCCAGTGAAGTTAAATTTGGGGATCTGAGTCCCCATCAGGACCATGCATAGAGTGCAGGATGGGAAAGCCAGGTCCAGCCCACAGTGTACCATTACTAACTGCTCAGGAAATAATAATGTTGAGGAATTCTCTCCATTGCTTGGGAGGTTTGAGCGTCCCATGACTGAGGGTCAAGGATAGGAGGCCAGCTAAGGAATTGGCTCTGGCTAACAGCACATTCAGCTTCCTGGGGGTAACCTTTCAGGCCGTCTTAGAGTATATAGGCAATCAGCAGCCTTCTGTGGTAATTTAGGGTGGATAAATAAAGCATTTCCCAGGAGAGGAAGGGATGGATCAAGAGGGGAGGTCAGCCAAGGGAGAAAGGGGAGTACTTGGAATAAAACTGGCAGGATTTATTATCAGTAAGAAAACATTCCATGCTCAAGGCCAGGACACAAGGAGAATTGTAAAAGCAGGACACAATTGTAAAAGTAGTCCTTTTAGAGAACTGTAGGGTCTGTGATCCAAAGACAACAAGTTGGTGTTACAATAATAGATGAGACCATGTTTTACTATCTCCTTATATAAGGGTTGGGGACTTTCTAATATTATTAGGCTACCAAGTGGATGGGGGGGGGGGCCGGTGCTGTGGGATTTCTTCATGGTTGTCCATCTAGTTGATCAAGATGTAGTGAAATGCATAAATCATTAGCATTTCTATATATTACCAAACAAAATCCAGCAGCAAGAAATAAAAAGTAATTCCATTGAAAATAACTGTAAATGATATAAAATATAAAATCTACTTGCCAAGACAAACCCGTTTGAATATGAATACACACTGACTGTATATGAATACACTTATAAAACACATTTCACACAATAAAGTCAGATCTAAACAATTGGAAAAATATTGCTCATGGGTAGATGGAACCAATATAATAAAAATGGTAATGCTTCCTAAATTAATCTATTCAGTGCCAGACCAATCAACTACCAAACAATTATTTTATAGAGCTAAAAAGATATATAAAAACCAAATTCATCTGAAGAAACAGAAGGTCAAAAATACCAAGGGAATCAATGAAGAAAAAAAAAACATGAAGGAAGGTGGCCTAGCCTTATCAGATCTCAAACTATCATAAAGCCGTAATTATCAAAACAGTTGGGTACTGGCTAAGAAAGAGAGTGTTGGATGAGGTACACAATACACAGTAGTGAAGGACCACAGTAATCTGGTGTTGCATAAACCCAAAGACTCAGACTACTGGGACCACAACTCCCTCTCTGACAAAAATTGCTGGGAAAACTCAAAAATAGTTTGGCAGAAACTAGGTAGAGACAAACATCCTGCAAAGTGTCGTTTGTCCTTTTTTCTTGAAGAGGACCATGACATCAGGGAAGTGATGCCAGGACTTGCAAGTGAATTGGATTTCAGTGAGGAAGGGCTGTGCAAAGTGACCAGCCTCACTTTCTCCTCTGGAGCATCTGGGTCCAGTGGCCAGATATAGATCAGGATGTCTGGAGATGACCACAGCTGCAGTGGGAGACCTTGGCCTTTTTCAGCTAAGGTCTTTCCCGGGTCTCATTTTGACTGATGCAACACCCATTCATTCAGTGCTTAAGGCTATGTAAGTAGAAATGAGGCAACGAATGGCCTGTTTTACCAGTCAGGAAAAGAAACAAACCAACCAATCCTCTGGGAGGGGAAGACTCTCAGGGTTTCTGGCCACAATACAAACAGCTGCTGTCTACATTCACTTTGAGCCAATCCGGACCCACACAATGACCAGACATGGCCTAGACTGGGACCTCTCCTTGGTCAATCAATGAGAGGCAGCGTGACTTGGGTTTAAGGCATGGTTCTTACAAAAGAAATCTACCCTGTAAACCCCCAGATATCTTTTGAGGTTTCCGTGATCAAAAGAGAGAAACAGTGCCTGACCTCAGGAAGTTTACGTCTAAGGGACAGCGACAACACAGGCGTGGAGAAGTCAATAAAAGGCAGGTAACTAAGTGTTAATGCCCGGGGAGGAGGGGGGGAGAGTGGGGCAGTGCCACCGCAAGGCACGCCGGGACTCTTGGTCTTTCCCCGCCCCTCCATAGCATTTGGCCACCGCCCCTCCCCTCAGGGGTGCCTCTAAGACTAAAAGTGGAAGCAAAGGCGTTTACCTTGCCTCCTATCGATGTTGACTGTCACCCGGGAAGGCCAAGAGGCGGCCCGGACTGTATTTCCCACTATCGGCCGCGCCTTCTGTTTTGAAAATCCTTGCTTCCCGCCTCAGGCCTCGTCTACTGAAGCGGCCGCATTGTCTTTGCCGGAGTCGAGGGCCTCGGGACGCGGGGCGAGGCGGGCCGGGCCTGGTGGAGCAAGCTAGGTGAGGCCGCCCCCGCGTCCTCGTCCTCTCCGGGGGCGGCTCCCCTTCCCCCCGCAGGGGGGCCGGCCTCGCGGAGGCGCGTCTATCCCGGCGGACCCTCGGCCTCACCAGATGACCGCCTGAGGGCCGTAAGAGACTTTTTGCAGGCAGGGAAACTGAGGCAGGCCTTTGCGACCTCTGTTTCCTCACCTGTGAAACGACGGGGTCGGATTGGTCGCTCAGTGTTGGTGGCTAGCAGTCAAAGGAGGAGCGACTGGCTGAGGAGGAGGCCCGGGAGAAAGCTAAGAAGCTGGAGGAGGCCGAAGGGAGGTGGAAGAGGCTTCAGCAGGTAAGTGGAGCAGGATGGGGGCATCGCAGGGGGGAGAGATGGAGGCCCAGGGAGGCAGGAGCAGAGCTGCCCATCCTCAGTTCCTTAGGCCACACTGGAAGAGGGCTGAGACAGGCCCCTTCCTTGTGGGGCAGCTAGCTGTAGGGCCCAGTGTGCTGGGCCTTGAGTCAGGAGGACCAAAATTCAGATCCAGCCTCAAGACTTAGTAGCTGTGCAACCCTAGGCAAGTCACTTAACTGCTACCTGCCTCAGTTTCCTCTTCTGTAAAATTCTGTTTGCCTCCCAGAATTGTTAGTAAGGAACAGATGAGGTGACCCAACCCACCCACCATGAAAAAGAAAAGGGGGGGGGGCCGCTAAAAGAGAAAGATTCCTTGAGTGACAAGAAGAGGTGGCTTCTTTCTGGGATGAGTGTTCTCCCTCACTGACCTGTTTCTTTCTGGGGGGCTAAGCCTAATTGTTCTTTAGCCCAGAATATTCATTCCGCAGTCAAACACATGGGCAGTTTGGAAATTTGGATGCAACAAGGATGGCTCATGTACAGTCATGAATTTAGAGCTGGAAGGGGCCAAGGGTTTTGCTCTGCTGTGCCCGCTTCACCCCCAACCTCACCTGGCCTGCCTGAATGGTCTCCCTCTCTTTCCCAGCTCCAGGAGGAGGAAAAGCGGAGGTGCCAGGAGCAGCTGCGACGGAAGAAGAGGAGCGTCTGTGGAAGGTGGCTGAGGCCCGGAGAATCATGAAGCAGGAGAAGCAGCAGCTGGCCCTTGAGAGGGAGCCCGAGAAGCTGCAGGAAAAGTGGTTAGGGCCTGCCCACTGGTCATGCCTTCTCTGCCTGTGTGCGTGTGTGTGTGTGTGTGTGTGTGTGTGTGTGTGTGTGTGTTGTGTGTGTGTGAGAGAGAGAGAGGCTGTGAGATTGTGAATGTGTGTGACAGGGATTGGGTGTGTATGTCACTGTGAGAGACTGAGTGTGAATGAGATCCCAGCAGACCCACCCCAACAGGGGCTTTGCCAAGCTGTGCTTGGGCAGCAGGGCATGTGGGCGATGTTCCAGACTGCAGGTGAGATCTAGGCTCACGTCTTGGCTCTGTCATTTACTCTCAATGTGGCCTTAAGCCCATCCCTTCTCCCCTCCAAGACTCGGTTTCCTTTCCTGAAAAGTGGGGGTGATAATTGGACACTGTCATGAGACTCGCCCACCACCTCGGGGGAGCCCAAGGTTGTGGTGGTGTTGCTGGTAGTGCAGGGCTGTGGAGACGATGGGTTTTCAGGTCAGGGAGCAGTTGGGGTCAGGGACAATACACACGATTCTCCAGGCAGAACCTGTTCTGCTGCATTTTTCCTGCACTGTTCTGGGCCAGCTCATCGTCTTATCTAGAATTCAAGTGAGCATCTTGATCCCTCACACTCAGCACAGAGCAGATCAGTTACTAAGTCAAGGCCTTTTCCCTTTATCTGTGTATATACCCATTGGGGTGACCAACTGTGTGGGATAATGGGGGCAGGATGTATTCTTCATCTACTTTGTTTTCCAGTGTAGGCAGCTAGGCCCATCTCCTTCACTGTTTTAAAGTCTCACAATGCTTTTAAGAGGTGTGCATTTGCGGGTATTATCCTCATCTTGCAGATAAGAAAACTGAGGCTTAGAGGAGTTAAGAGACTTGCTTATAACACAAATATTAATTGTTGGCAGAAGGATTCAAGCCCAAGGAAGTGTTTATTTTTATTTATGTATTTTAAAAATAAGTTTTAGTAGTGTCTTTGATAGACATGCTCCCTTTCCTCCTCCCACTGAATTCTTCCTTGTGTAAAGGAAAGATAAGCTGCACAGACCCCATATGGGCAACACTGTGCCCTCCACCTCCCTACAGCCAATGGGGCGAGTCCTGGGAACTAGGGATCATGTCGTTCAGTCCACATTGTCCTTTCCTTCCACTTTTCAGCTGATGCTTTCTGTCATCAGGCCTGGTCTTCTCCTGGGTCTCCTTCTCTCGGTACCAGGTCAAAGGAGTCTTCCCGGGTCTTCTGAATGTCTCACTGGTCATTTCTGGCTGCATGATAATATTCTATTCCATGCATAGATCACAGTTTGATTGGCCCTTCCCCCATCAGCTTGTTCCTTCTTTGGTAGAGATACTTCCACCATGTCAGTGTGGTTCCAGCCTCTCCCCCTTGTAGCTGTGACCTCTCTGTAGTGTGTCTGAGAGCCCTTTCATTCATGCCCTATGGTCCCATCTACACTGGGTGGGGCAGTTTCCACACCAGGTTCCCTGCCCTGATGAAATTACTGGTCCAGATAAGAAATTCCATCCATACACTTATGCATCTCTCACACTAATCATTTCCTTTGGTTTCAAAGCACTTAAGTCAGGGTCTCATTTGGTCTCTGCACCATCTCTGTAGGGTCTTCCAAGTGCCTGAGCCCAGGGGCCTGTTCAGAGGCCTTAAAGAGGGAGGAGCGCTCTGGGGGGGAGGCGGTGCTCATTCCCAGCTCTGTCACCACATGTCCCAGCTTGGGATAACTGATGGCACTGTGGTACTGGAGAGAAACGCGAGGGCTCAGACACCTACCTTCCACCTTTCCTCTGCCAGAAGAATGTTTGAGAACGTTCTTGGAATACATACAACAGAAAATACATTTCATTGAGCATTTATTAAGTGCCTACTACTTACATGAAACTGTTTCTAGGTACTGGGGCTACAAAGACATAAACAAACCACACCCTGCCCTCTGCAAGCTTACATTCTACTGGCTTCCTTCCTGATGTTGTTTCTCCTTTTTGCAAATCCTCTGTCCAGTTGCAACCAGGAGCTAGAGAGTGATGTGTTAAGCCCTGGGGATAGTGGCAGGGTGGGATTTGGGTGAGGGTCAGCCCTATGGCCCCCCTTCCTGCTGGTGACTAATGAGGTTGGGTGTTTGGTTTTCAGGGAGCTGCAAGAGAAGAAGAGATTACTGTGGCAATTGGAGAAGAGGGAGAAGGTGAGGCACTGGGTGCAGATGGCCCTTGGTCTCCTCATCTGTGCACTGATGGGTCCTTGGGCGTGGCTACAGCCGTCCCCCTTCTCTCCATGGCCCATTCTGAGGCTGCTGCCCCTGGTCTCTTGGGCTTTTTCTGGGAACCGGGCACAGGGTGGGGGGCAGCGCCTTAGGTGGGTTTCCAGGACTCACTCGTGTGCTGCATTGGCCCCAGGAGGAGTGTCACCGTCAACAGCAAGAGCCAAAGAAGCTGCAGGAGGAGCAGGAGAAGGCCAAGGACGCTGCAGCTGCTGCCTGGGTCAGTAACAAATGCTGGAATGTAAAGGTGGATGTGCAGGTGAGGCCCACCTGTGGCTCCCCTGCCCCCTTCTCACCTGGCAAGGCCATACAGGTGCTAGGAGGTGTGACCTGCCCAGAGCTGTAGAAAGGCAGGCTCCCAGGAGGCTCTTAGGCCACTAGCCAAGCCCACCTGGCTCCTTTTCCAGTGCTGGGGCAAATGGTCATTCAACCTCCCAGGGTCGGGAAGCCCATTACTTGCTAAGGCAGCCTGTTGTGTTTTTGGACAGCTCTGAATGTCAGGAGGTGCCCAGAGTGACCTCTCTGTGGCTTCTGCCTGTTGCCCTTGCTTCTGCCCTCCCTGCATGGACATGACGAGACAGACCCAGTGTGTTGCCCCTTAGCCTTGTCTCCTCCTGGCTCAGTGGTCCCAGGTCCTCTGGCATTGGATTGCCCTTTTCTGGGGACTGTCCAGCTTCTGGTTGTAGCCTGAGCCTAGGAGGGGGGCAGAGACCAGAGGGCACCAGTGTTTCCTCCTTGTTTTCGGAAGCCCCGCCCACCTGCCTGTCTTGGGGCATTAGCAGCTCTCTCTCTTCCTGGCTTTCTGGAGTGCCATGGTCATTTGGCTGACCCACACTGAGGTTCCAGTCCCCTAAAAGCCCTGGGTCCTTTTCACATGAGCTACCGTCTAGCCACGCCTATCCCCCTTACAAAGTTGGATTGTTTGGTGGGCTGGAGTGGTCAGTGCCATGTGATGGCTATAGCCCAAGGCTATGTTTGAGACCAGTGGGGGCTAATGACAAAACAGTGAGAGAACACTGGATTGGGCTTCAGCTATCAGCATGGAGCATTAGCTGTGTGATCTCATAGCTTCTCTGGGCCCCAAGGTTCTCTTCTGCAAAATGGGGCAGGGAGATGGCCTTAATGACCCCCGAGGTCCCCTCTAGCTCTAAAATTCTGAACCTCCCCACCATTCTGTGACCTCAGAGGCTCCCTTCTGGACCAGCCACCAGATGGACCAAGCCCTGCAGATTCACTTCAGCCCAGGCCATGCCTCAGCTCTGTCTGCAAGCAGTGGCCAGGACCAGACTCCAGTTTCTGTACCATTTACTGACGTTTAGCTTTTTTCAGTCAGCGGAAGGTCAAGGCCAAAAGCTCCCTGCCTCTCAGAAGTGTCGTCGAAGGTTTAGCTAATGATAGAGGGCTACTCGCATCAAGAGGAGGCTGTCTCCATCTTCTTTCCCCTTTATCGTCAGCGATCGGGTACTTGGTCCAGCAAGAGATGACAATGCCCCACTAGCCCCGTGAGGCCAGCTTATAGAGGAGAGGTCCACACATTCCCAGAAAATGTGCCTTCGGGCTCTGCTGGTCACGAGACAGGCACAGACAGACTCCTCACAAACCGTGACTTCTGTTGACGTCATCGTCTCTATAGACATTCTCTCCTCTGAGACTCCCAGCAACCTTGTGCTAGGGGCAGAGTGTGAATTATCCATACTTAACAGGTTAAGCAACTGAGCCTCAGAGAGGTGGACACATATCCTGAGTCTTAGTCCTGGCCTGTGGCCACTGTGGACCTCAGTCTTCCTCATCAGTTGGGTGGTGGTGGGGGGGTTTAGACGGATCATTTCAGAAGGTCCTTCCAGCTCTGGCAGCCCAAGGTGCCCGTATCAAGAAGAGAAAAAAAGTCTCCTTCCTTCTTCAGAATCTAGTTTGCAGCTCTTATGAAATGACCCCACAGGACCCGCAGGAGGCCCAAGAACAGCTATGATAACTATGGCATGGATCTTCATAGTGATGACTCCACAGATGATGAGAACCAGCCCCAAAAGCCTATTCCCGCTTGGGCCAGGTAAGTGTAGACTCCCATCTCTTAAACAGTTAGAAATGTCTTCCCTGTTAAATTGGACTGTAGTCTATTAAAGGAGAGCAATGTCTAACAAGGGTAGAAAGTAGGCTGGGAGCAAGTTGTGAAGCTTGGCCTTTAAATGCCAACAGAAGCTTCTATTTGACCTAGAGGCTAAGTAGGGGAGGGATGTGCCTGCTGGGCTTTAGAAAAATCCTTTGAGGGCAGCTAGGTGGCGCAGTGGATAGCACCGGCCCTGGAGTCAGGAGGACCTGGTTCAAATGCGGCCTCAGACCAGACACTTGACACTTACTAGCTGTGTGACCCTGGGCAAATCACTTAACCCCAACTGCCTCACTAAAAGAAAAAAAAAAGAAAGAAAGAAAGAAAAGAAAAATTCCTTTGTAGTCTTGTGGAGGATGGGTGGTGGTGGGGAAAGGCTGGAGGCAGGGAGACCAATTGGGAGGGCACTTTGCTAGTGCGGGTGAGGCCACGAGGGACTGCATGAACTAGAGTGGCGTGGCAGGACCTACATCAATAAGGTGGAAATAGAAGTATAAAGTTTGGCTATTGATGGACCATGGGATGAGAGGAAGTGAGGAGTTGGTAACACTGAGGTTTTGAGCAAGGTGGGCAGTACCCTCAACAGTAAGGGGGAAGTGTGGACGAGGGGAAAGGGAGAGAATTCTGAACATTGGATATTCCGAGTTTGAGAAGTCTGTGGGACATCCTGTTTGAAATATCTGGTGTGCAATTGGTGATTTGGGGCTGGCACTGAAGAGAGAGGTGATGGCTGGGTACATAGCTATGTAGACATGGTAGTTGAACTCATGAAAGCTGATGAGGTCACCAAATGAGATCATATGGAGAGAACAGGGAAGACGGCCCAGGATATAGCCCTGGGGGATACTCGTGGTTAGGGGGCACGATGTGGAAGTAGATTCAACAAAGAAAGCTGAGAGGGAGAACCAGTGAAGGAGAAGGCACCTAGTACTGCTATCAGCCACAGAGAGATGAAGAAAGGTAAAGGTCAGGGAAGGATTGTTTGGTTTAGTAGTTAGGACACTGCTGGCCATATTGCAAGAGCTGAGGAGAGGAAGGAGGGCAGTGAGAGTCTGGCTTTTTAAAGGAGTTTGGCAGAGAGAGGGGAAGGGGAAGAGAGGTGTAGCAGGGCAGGCTCTCCTAAGGCATCTTCAGGGATAAGGGAGGCAAGGGAAGCAGCCCCACTGGAGAGGGAAAGAGAAAAGATTAGAGACAAAGGGGGATTAAGGCATCTGGAGAGGGCTTGGCCTTGCTGAGCAGAAGGACCACCTCCTCATGGGAGATGGGAAGAAAGGAGAAGCTGGGGCCTGAGGTCAGGGGCTTCAGAAGGGGAGAAGGGTAACTTTGGGGAGGAGGAGGAGGAAGGTTCTCAGCTGTGAGGGCTGGTGGTACCAGGGGTGATGTAGGAGGCTTGAGGAGAGAAGGGAAGGTTTGGAATAGCCTTGAGGGGGGCATCATCAGTAACTGGGTGGCATCTCCTTCTGAGCCTCCTGCTCTGGCATGACCTCTGTCTCTTGCCCCAGGGTCCCAGCTCAGCCAGGCCATCATCCGTCAGTACTACATGCCTCCTGACATCGACCAGCTCTTTGGGACCATCCCCAGTCCAAGGCTGGAGGACATATTCGACAAGAGTGAACTGCATTAGCACAGGCGCACCGGCTTGGCTGACTGGCTTTCTCTGCTGCTCCCGGGGACCAGCCACTTGTAGGCATGGCCTGAAGAAGCCGAGAAGGGATGGCGAGGTCCCTCGTGGCTCTCACATGAATTCAGAATGACTGTGTATGTGTTTAAGAATTGAAGTTTTTAGTGTAGGCAAACACAAAGGGAGTTTGGAGCCAAAGGCCTTTCTAGAGCTGCAGTGGGAGCCAGGCCTGGGGGCAGCACAGACGAGACCCCAAGAAGCTGCGAGCTTGAGGGCCAGCAGCGCTTGAAGCACCCACACAATGAGCTGGCAGTATGAGTGCTAGGTAGCTAGTTAGGCTTGTTGGGCTCCAGAATTTTGAGGGTAGACTAATAAAATGTTTTTCTTGACATGATGTGGAGTTCTTGCTGTTGGGGAGGTTCTTGCTCATGGAGCTCTGAAGCCTGGCCTGGGCCAGCAGCAGTGCCAAGGGTGGGCTGGTAGGGGACATGGAGTCGTAGGCTTGAGGCATCAGAGTTTGGCAGGTAGCTGGACTGGCACTGCTGACCCCCAGGAGCAGGCAAGGAACAACAGGTTTTGAGATGTCCGTCCACCCTGACGGCCCATGTTCCAAGGATCTGTCTAGCTCTACCTTTCCCTCCTGGCCCTGACAGTCCATGTCCTATATTCTGAGGCCCCTCCCAGCTCACACTTTCCACATTCTCTCCCTCCCAATTTGGGGCACTTGTGAGTCTGAGGGGCCCAGAATTGGCCTAGGGGCAGATGGGCAGCCAGGGTTCAGTGGGAATTGCTCAGAAACTCTTCTAATTTAGTCAAGAGTGTGGATCAAATGGGGGCCCATCTCCAACTGCAGCATCTAAACTTGGAAATGTTTGTGCCCTGCTGGGGGAAGAGTAATAATACCAATATCAATGATATAACAATAGTAGCTCTAGTCCTTATGTCTCTCTAAGGTTTGCAAAGCACTTTGCAAAGGTTGTCTCTTATCCTTGCCACATTGGGAGGTGTGTTATTATCCCCATTTTTCAGATGGGAAAAACAAGTCAGGCAGCAGCTAAGTGAGTTGCCCAGGGCCGCATGCAGCCAGTACGTGTCTGAGGCAGTATTGGAACTGGAGTCTTCTTGACTTAAAGCCCAGCACTCTTCATCTGGCTGCAGATACCTACTCTCTGTGTGACC